GATAACTACTCACATCGAGTGTTCACATAAAATATCACCAAGAATCAAAATTCATCAGGTAAATATATAAACTACGGAAATCAACAGGTGTGTGTGAACGTGCTGTGTGCCCTAATACTCGTGTTCTGTATTGTTACGATTTTCTCTCTCTGCATGTGCAGGTGTGTTTCAATGAAGGACAATGACCTGAGTGAATACATGAACATGGATCGCTGTCTGCGTTTCCTTTCCGCCCTTTAGTCTTCCTTTCATTTCACAGTTACTACCCAGAATCCTCTCTGTCCTGGGGAGGGGGAGGTGCTAAGAAAGCCCTCCCGGCCTGGCCGGTAGCTCAGCTGGTTCCAGTATCACCCGATACGCCCAAGTTTCGGGTTGGATCCCCGGTCAGGCACATACAAGAATCAACTGATGCATGCACCGATATGTGGGACAACAAATCAACCCCCTCCCTCCCCTGCCCCCTCCCTCTCTCTTTCTAAGATAAGTGAGCACATGTTGTAACGGTCCTCTTCAGGCGTCAGACCCGCTGGGTAAGCCGCTGGACAGACCAGCCTCAGCGAGGTGGTTTGAAGAATCTGGGAGCAGACTGAGACGGGGCGCCCAGAGGGGCCAGTGTAGCCCACGGGTGGGGACCAAGGGCCAGGGCTTCCCAGAGTCAGCAGGAGCCCGGGTCGCCTGCTCTCCCCTCCCAGGCCCCCCTCTCCCCGCACAGGACAGCTGCAGAACCGCCCGCTGGCCAGCGGCAGAGCTGGGCCCTGACCCACGTCTGCTGACCACGTCGACTCCTGTCCCCACCACAGCCCGGAGCAGGCCGGACAACCCCTCGAGGCACTGGGGCAGGGGGACCTCGGCAGTCCCCTGCCAGGCCGCAGGGAAGGGCAGGCGGGGCGTGGAGAGGGCAGGCACAGGGCAGGACCTGTGACTCACGCAGCACAAGGATCCTGCCGAGATGGCAGGGCATGGAGCCAGCTTCCTGGAAAAGGACCAGGAGTGAGTGGTGTCACGTGCGGTCTCCCGCCTGCCGAGCAGGGCCGCCCCGCTCGCTGCCACCCCTGGAGGGGCGTTCACCCCAGGACGGACAACCTGCTGGTTCCGCAGGCCATGCTCCCAAGCCCGCTCCACCCTCCCACCCCACAAGCTCATCCATCAGCCCAAGGAAGCGCTCAGATCCCCACAGGTCGAGGAGGCGCACCCCAACCCTCCCTGAAACCCCGGAAACAGCCAAAGCCAGGTCAGGTGTGTCCTAGGGCGGGGTGGTGATGGTTGCCATGGGAACAGATGGGCTTCGGCTCCTAACCTCCCCCTGCCCCCCAGTAAGAAACCCCAGGGCGGAGGAGGCGTGTAGGTCCCAGGGTGGCTTGTGTCTAGAAGGACGCAGGCGTCCTGGGTCGGGGACGGGCGGCTGAAATACGTGGCCTCCGCAAAGGGACGCCCTGGGGCGTGGAGAGAGCAAGTGCGTCTAAGTGTCCGCGTGTGAAAGCTGTCCGAGGCGCAGCACGGAGAGGGAGAAGCGAGGTCTGGAGCCGTGTGGACGGGAGTGCTGCCACGTGTGCTGCTGACCGTAGTGGCATCACCTGCCCCGCCCTCTGACCCCCCGGGGGGCGCCCTCTGAGGCCTCTGAGACCAGCGAGGAGCAGGCTCCTCCCCGGTCCCGCCGGCTGAGGCCACGGCGGCACGGGGACAGGGTGAGGCCTTCTGCGTTTGGATGTTCCCACCCCGTCATCGTCATCGCAAACACATGAAAGCATACCGCTCACAGTGAGTATCAACTGGGCTATAAACTTTGCAAGAGGCTCGGATAAAGACTGCGCACTCGGTTCCTGTGGTCTGAGCCAGTGGTTCCAGCCTTCCCAATGCCGCGGCCCTTTACCACAGCTCCCCAGGGGGCGGTGCCCCCAGCCATACAATTATTTCCGTGGCTCCTTCATAGCTGTCATTTTGCCGCTGTTATGAATGGTAACGTGAATGTCTGTGTTTTCCGATGGTCTTAGGTGACCCTGCTAACGGTTCTCAGCCTGCGGGTCACGACCCCTTTGGGGTGCGAATGACCCTTTCACAGGGGTTGCCTATAAGACCACTGGAAAACACAGATGTGTACGTTACGGTTCATTCACAGTAGCAAAATCACAGCTATGAAGGAGCAACGAAAATAATGTTCTGGCTGAAACCGGTTTGGCTCAGTGGATAGAGCGTCAGCCTGCGGACTGAAGGGTCCCGGGTTCGATTCCGGTCAAGGGCGTGTACCTTGGTTGCGGGCACATCCCCAGTGGGGGGCATGCAAGAGGCAGCTGATTGATGACACTCTCTCTCTCTCTCATATTGATGTTTCTTACTCTCTATCCCTCTCCCTTCCTCTGTAAGAAATCAATAGAAATATATTTTAAAAAATAATAATAATGTTATGGCTGGGGTCACCACACGAGGAACGTAGTAAAGGGCCGCGGCCTCAGGAGGGCTGAGAACCGCTGGCTGAGCTCCATCGCATCTCTAGATCGCACAGGGCCCCGCCGAGCCGAGCGCAGGGAGCTGGCTGAGTAATGTTACCGAGACAGATTCCCCCGCAGACGACGGGGACGTGGCGAACGTGCGGCTCCAGAAGCTCTCCGGCTTCTCCTCTCGGCCGTGGGCCACACGCTGGGCAGCAGCGGTCGCCCGGCCTCAGGGAGGCCCGGGACAAGGCCGGGGTCAGGCCCAGGGAGAACAAGGCTCTGCTCACGGCTGCTTCCTGAGCCAGCACGGAGCCAGGGCCCAGGGGTGCGGGGGTGGAGGGGAGCACGCAGTTCCCCCCGAGGTGACCTAGGAGCCTGCGGCCGGACAGTCCCCCAGGCGCCCAGCCGGATGGGTAGGATCAGCACGGTCCACCCATGGCATCCGACCTGTTTTCCGGGCCGTGCCAGGACTTGCCACAAGCCCTGCACCCCAGCTTCCTGCTCCTGAGGATGGCCCGCGCACTGTGCCCGAGGGATGTCTGCCTGAGTGACACCCCTGGCAGCGAAGGCCCGGCTGCTGCTCTCACTGCCGCCGAGCTCTGCACGGCCCCGGCAGGCTCCTGGGCGCTGAGCGTCGACCACCACCTGCCCTCTGGGAGCACATCCACCACGGGCCTGGGCGGGCCACAGGCCTTACGGACAAACCCAGCCCGGCTTCCAGACCCCCGCCTCTCCCCCTCCATGGCCGCCTCCTCCCTCTGCCCATCCCTCCGCTGTGCCCTGCAGCAGCCAGGCCCCACCTCCCACGGCGTCTTCCTGTGTTCCTCCTGCTGCTCTCGCTGTGCTGCCTGTTTTGTGTTAGTTATTTGGTTGTTTTAAAATATATTTTTATTACTTCCAGAAAGGAAGAGATAGAAACATCAAGGATGAGCCCAGCAGGCCTGGCTCAGGGGTTGAACATCGGCCAGGAGGTCCCGGTTTGGTTCTGGCCAAGGGCACATGCCCAGGTTGCGGGCTCCATCCCCCATAGGGGGCGTGCGGGAGGCGGCTGATCAGTGGTTCTCTGGCATTCATGGATGTTTCCATCTCTCTCCCTCTCCCTTCCTCTCTGAGATCAATAAAAGTGTGAGTTTTGCCGAAACCAGTTTGGCTCAGTGGTGGAGCGTCGGCCTTCGGACTGAAAGGTCCCAGGTTCGATTCCGGTCGGGGCATGTACATTGGTTGCGGGCACATCCCCGATAGGGGGTGTGCAAGAGGCAGCTGGTCGATGTTTCTTTCTCATCGACGTTTCTAACTCTCTCTCTTTTTTAAAAAAAATATTTTTTATTGATTTTTTTACAGAGAGAAAGAGAGAGGGATAGAGAGTTAGAAACATCGATGAGAAAAAATCATTAATCAGCTGCCTCCTGCACCACCCCTACTGGGGATGTGCCTGCAATCAAGGTACATGCCCTTGACCAGAATCGAACCTGGGACCCTTCCGTCCACAGGCCGACGCTCTATCCACTGAGCCAAACTGGTCTCGGCCGATGTTTCTAACTCTATCCCTCTCGCTTCCTCTCTGTGAAAAATCAATAAAATATATTAAAAAAAAAAAAAAAAGAGTTGACTCTGACCAGGCTGGCGGGTACTCCGGACTGGGGGGGACGCGGGGGTAGAGGGAAGGCGCAGCCCCAGGACGCGGAGAGGGAGAGAGATGGAAACATCCAGAAAAGGGGCCACAGCCAAACCCTGGCACCAGGCCGGGGCGAGGCATGTCGGTGCAGAATCCACACTAAAGTGCAGGGAGGATGCCGGGAAGGACCGCAGTGTGGGAACGCAGGAGGGCAAACACTTCAAGAAGGAAATGCTGAGAGGGTCAAGGCCACGGAGAGGCCAAGCGAGATAAGGCCTGAAGGGGCCCTGGACCCGGCCACCAGGTGGGCAGGCCTCCCAGGATCCGTGGGGAAAGGAGCGGGCGCTGCAGTCGGTGTGGCCTGGGCCTCTGCTGGCGGCTGGAGTCCTGCTCCCCCCTTCTCCCCCCCCCCACACCCCCCCCCCCCCCGCACACTCCCACAGGCCCTCCCAGAGCCTGCCCACCACGCTGCCCGGCCCAGTTCCGCCACTGCCACCTGTGAGGGCTGGAGCCTCAGTTTCCCCTGGGGTGATGGGTCCAGGGGGCCCTACCATAGCTTCTGCTGGCTGGACTGCCCTGTGCTCAGGTTGGAAGAGAGAGGCCCAGGCGGCCAGATCCCCTCACCCTGTGACTCGGGTCCCCTTGCTGCCCCACGTGGGACGCTGGGCTCCCCCCACCCCCTCTTCCCCCCACCCCCACCCCCACCACCAAGTGACTCATGTGTGAGCTCAGTTTCAATGGGGTCAGAAACTGCTGAGAAAAGAGAATGTTTGCTTTTTCCACCAAGCCAGTGCCCAGATAAACAGTGTGGCCCCCGAGTGGAGCCCAAGCCCTGAACCCCCCCCCCACCCCACCCCCGCAGAGAGGGACATAAGAAGGCACCTGATGGACGGTCACCCCGCACACGAGACTACGGAGTCAGTGACAGCCGAGCCTCCTTCCAGCCTGCCGCCACCATGAAGCTGGCCGTCACCCTCGCCCTGGCCACCCTGGCTCTCTGCGGCCCTGGTGAGTGCCCAGCGCCTGTCCCCAAGCTGGACCAGGGAACGCTCCCTGCCACCCAGTCCTGCTGGGGACGGGCATGTGTCTGCCCGCTGCTCGGCTGCTGGGAGCCTGGGGAGGCTGTGCCAGCCAGGAGCGGGGGCTGGCGCCCCGCCACCTCAGAGACTTGGGAAGAGGCCTGAGGCCATGAGGAAACTGGCACGTATCTCACCTTCCGCCTTCACCGCCCTCAGAACTCCGGGGAATGGACTCCACGGAGAGAGGGACAACCAGCTCCCCGAGCCCAGGCTTGGACAGACCCCAAGAGGCTTTGGGGCGGCCTCCAGGTTTGGGGTCTCCGCCCAATTCTGGCAGCCACGGGGCCTGGAAGGAGCTACAGAGCCTCGTGGCCCCAAAAGAAACCCAAGCCAAAGCGGGATCGCCCATTCTGGGCAGAAAGGAATCTTCTAGAAAGGGCCCTTCCCTTTAAGAAACTAACAACCCAGCGTGGCGTTTTCTAACATTTTTGTCCGCTGAAGAAAGGGTGAGGAGTCTGATAGTAAAGGGAGAGAGGGGCGGGGAGGAGAAAGTGGGCCACACCCCCCTCCAAACCCTTCCTCTCTCTTGGAATTTGTTACCTGCTTTTTACTCTGCACTCCTTTCAGTAAACACACACACACACACACACACACACACACACACACATTTTGAACACATTCCAGTTAGTTCACTTTGCTATTTTCGTAATATCCGGGGCACTAGCTTTTATGACCCTGGAGGATGGCGGGGTAGTTAAAAACCAAAACAAGAGGCAGTGGGGACAGCTACTGTGTGAGGATTTGTCTCAGGAGAAATGACATGTGTGAGTAGTGTGCACATTAACTAAAGGGTCTCAGAGCTGTGGGCAGAGGGTGGCTCCGCTGGACAGGATGAAAGGGGACTGTGAGGGCCGGGTCTGGGTGCGTTTCAGGCTTGTGTGCTCATCTAGCAATGACAGCAACAACCCCCTGCCTTCCTTCCCTTCCCGCCTGCCCCTCACTGTTCTGAACCCCTTCACACACTATCTCTTCATCCTTACAACGACCTTACGGAGTAGGGGTTAGTCCCATTTCACAGATGAGAAAACTGAGCTGCAGAATGATATGGCAACTTGCCTAAGGACACAGTCAGTTGCAAAACATGGCACCCAGTTCTGGGGAAGGTTGGTTGGAGCTGGCCCCTTTGGGTGGGACCCTGAAGTCCAGGCAGAAAAGCCAGACCTCCACAGGAGAGAGACTTCAAGGACGAGGATCTGGGGCTCCATGGGAGATGGGCCTGCAGGGAACAGGAAATGTGACTCCCCTGTCCCTGAGTGCAGGGACCTGGAAAGGGAGCACAGCCTGGGAGCCCCCGGGTGAAGGGGACACAGCAGGGGAGACAGATACAAGAAGCATGTCCGTCTGTCTGTGGGTGAGCATCCCCCAGGGCCTTGTGCTCATGGTGCTACCTACTGGGCCAGGTCTGCCTGACTTTGCCAAATGCCCCAGTGACAAGTAGCTGAGACTGTCTGACCACTGACAAGAGACATGTGTCTGCTGGACAACAGCCAGACACCTTCAGTGGTCTCTTCCCAACCCCCACACTGCACCAAAAATCAGGTCCTAGCTTCTAAGATCAATACTCTGCCCAGAGATCTCACAGAAAGAACGGGTGGCATGTTGTTTCCCCCCACCCCCCACCCCACCCCAACCTCCTACCTCCCAGGAAGTGCAAGGAAGGCCCCGGCAAGCCACAAAAACCTGGCTGCCACCCAGGAAGATCCGCACACCCAAGAGCCAGTGCTTGGAGCGCCACCAATTCTCACGTCCAAGCCGCTGACGAAAGGCTGCTATCTCTCGCTGACAGGCCCGGCATTCGCCTCGCAGGCAGACCCTGCCAGGGAGCTGCCATCTTGGGATAGTGTTGCTGATTCGGCAGAGAGCTGCTTGGACTTCATCATGAAAACCTTCTTCGTGAGCTTGTTTTCCAGTCACGAGGTCTCGATGGAACTTTTCAGCCCTGATGCGGACATGAGAGATATGGCGAGCAAGATAAAGGGGCTGGTGGACACCCTTCCCCAGCAGGACCAGGACAGCATCAGGAGGGGCATGGTAGGCGCTTCCTCCGCCCGCGGCTGGGTGGTGGGTTCCCCAAATCCCTCCCTGCATTGTTTGGACCCTTTCCTTATCCAGGGAGGGGAGCCACAATGCAGATGGGGGTTGGGGGGTGGGGGCAGGGATGGCGGGCAGGCACAGTCATTTCACCTGAGGTCACCAGCCTCCTGAGACTCATCAAAGCCCTTAGGAGCCCACCTCCTCCCACAGCAGGGAACCTCTTAGTTGACAATGAAATCTCCATGTCTCATGTCTCATCGTCTTGGTTTAACATAGAGATTCGCGCCCTCTTAGACAATGGGCTGTTTGTTTCTTTGTTTTAGGACAAAATATTAAAAAAGCCCACGGTGTGCTTAGGATTTAGAAGCTGAAGATCTCCAGCCACTGGATCTCCAGCTGCTCCCGGCTCCTCGTTCGCTCCCTCCACCAGCCGGGCCTGGCTCCCCCCAATAAAGCACAGCATCTCCTCTCTGTGCCTTTTCTTTCCCGATGACAGTGCGCAAGCCCGCCGCTCGGAGGGGTGAGGGTAGCCAGAGCAAATCAAAATCAGCAGATACATGGAGCCCGCTTCCGGTGGGCCCCGCTTCCGGTGGGCCCCGCTTCCGGTGGGCCCCGCTTCCGGTGGGCCCCGCTTCCGGTGGGCCCCGCTTCCGGTGGGCCCCGCTTCCGGTGGGCCCCGCTTCCGGTGGGCCCCGCTTCCGGTGGGCCCCGCTTCCGGTGGGCCCCGCTTCCGGTGGGCCCCGCTTCCGGTGGGCCCCGCTTCCGGTGGGCCCCGCTTCCGGTGGGCCCCGCTTCCGGTCTACCTGAGGGCCAGCCACAGGCAACAGCACTGCCTCCTGCACTCTCTCTCCTGGGAGCAGGCTGCTGCATGGACATGCACCAGGGCTCTGCCCAGCCTTGACCTACAGGGAAAGGGGGGTCTGAACGGGGTTCCCTTTGGGATTCTGCTCTTGGGCGAGGTGATAATGGGATCCGAACATGCCTACACGCAAAGATGGGGCTTTCCAGAGAGTTCCGCTTCCGAAAGAGAAATGGTGGACATTTTGACAGAGCCCTGGGGACCTGTTAGGACCGGGTGGCCCTGTGTCAGAGCCCTCAACTCGCACGCAGCGCAGGACAATGGCCCGCCCCTGGGAGGAAGCAGATTCCTGTAAAACTTAGGAGACAAAGGCCGGAGGAGGAATGGACTTGCCTCGATTGGGGACCCCGGGGTCCTGGGAGTGACTTTGAGGCATGACAGACCAATTTTCTTTCCTCGTTTTGTATTTGGCACATGAAATCATTAGTCTAGCTATTGTCTAAAGGGGGCAGAAACAGAAAAAACAAACCAATGGTTGGTTTATTTTCTAGACCCTTTATCTGTCCCCGTTATTAAGACCCCCTCTGTCCAGGCTTCACTTGCAGAGCCTAGCAGGCAAACTGCATTCCTGATAGTCCTGCTCACGGCCATCTCTGCCCAGGAACTGGGGGTGGGGGTTGGAGAGTGAGGGGGGGAGTGTCACCGAAGTCGCTGGGTGTGGGCACTCTGGGCCCCCGAACTTGCTCCCGTTCCCTGAGCCCCTGTCCAGTCAGCTTTCCTGCAAAGGAGAGAATCAGGCACCTCTCTCCTCTGGCAAAAGAGCCTTCAGGGAGGAGATTAATCCCTAGTTACTGACTGGAACTTCTTGTTGACGTTGTTAATCCTCACCTGAGGATATTTTCCCATTGATTTATAAAGAGAGTGGAAGGGAGGGGGAGAGACAGAGAGAAACATGGATGTGTGACACATTGATTGGTTGCTTCCCACACACACCCCGGGGGAGCCAGCTGGCAACCGAGGAACATGTTCTTGACCAAAGTCGAGCACAAGATCCTTCAGTCTGCAGGTTGGCGCTCTAACCACTGAGCAGCCGGCTCGGGTTTGACCGGCACTTTTGATGTGTCCATGGTGCCGGGTGTCTGAGGAACCTGGGAGCAGATTTACAGCCTAACAAACGTAGGCGGCACCACGGCCCCAGCAGGGCGGAGTGCAGAAAGGAGTGGCCTCCGTTCCTGGGATCGGGCAATCAGAGGGAAGATGGACAAGCGAATAGGTTAACCTGCAAGTGATGTCATACATAATATACAGAGTGGTGTGAGCAAGAGAAGCGCGGACAGCCCGGCCGGCGGGGCTCCGTGGCTGAGCACTGACCTATGAACCAGGAGGTCATGGTTCAATTCCCAGGGGGGTACATGCCCGGGTTGTGAACTTGATCCCCAGGATGGGGCGTGCAGGAGGCAGGCAATCCATGGTTCTCTCTCATCATTGATGTTTCTCTCTCTCTCTTTCCCTCTCCAAAATATATATTTTTTAAAGAGTGGCATGAACAGGCAACTTCAGCTCAGGAGGCCCCCATCTAGGGGATGTAGGGGGGGGATGAGAGGAGCCATCGCTGGGAGCAGGAAGGAAGGTCAGGCAGATGCGCAGAGACGCGATGTGGAGGATGCTGGGCTCCCTCCACGACCCACGCCCTTCACGGGGTCCCCCTGGGGCCTGCGCTTGGGACAAGGAGAATCAAGGGCTTTTGGAAAACCTTCGCTCTGGGTGTCTGTTACTGCCCGGACCTCCTTCCCTTCTCCTCCGTCTCCCCAACACCGCCAACGCCAGGGCCCTCCCCCTGCTTCTCATCTCAATGAGGTCTCTGTCCATGGGCGGCTCCTGGAGCCATCCTGCCCCCTCCCCCCCCCCCCCCCGCCTTGTGGTGCCCTCCAGGGAGCAAGCCACACCCTCTGCCCCCCCCATACCCTTCCAGGGGCCTCCTCATTGGCTCCAGCTCACACCTGGTGCCCCTCAGTCCGCCCTCCCCAACCCCATCCCCCACCTC